TAATAATGTGTCAGCTGTACGCCGTAACGGCGCTTCGCTGCCTCGCGACCACCACCAGTCGCGCGCGGGCTGAGTATACCGCGAGGACGCCCACCCCAACGCGGATTCGAACCGGTGACCTTATGATTGCAAAGCAAACGTGCAGACCACTCGGCCACCGGCCGACATGCTGCTCATCAGTGGACAATGTTCCAACTTGAGCGTTCAGATCCCCAGCCAGCACTGCGATGTCCGTGCATCTTCAGTGGTGCAAGAGCTCGTTCATTTGGTGATAGAAGTCATCTAGTACCGAGTCACTGCTACAGTTGGTGAGGGGGAAAAAGGCGGCGATGACACACCTGTTAATTATGCGCGAATTCGAAACTTTGAATTAGCCAGCCAGTCGGACGGCACACATCTTGCTACTGATTGGGATCCAATCAACCAGAGTAGCTTCAGCTCGCAGACTCCGGGCAATACCAAAAACGGCCCGGCCGGTACTCGAAGCTGCATCGTCTCCGGATAGGCGCAATGAGAAAGCACTGTCAGTGTCATCTGAAGAGGACCGCAGAATGAGCACAGAGCTCGGGTCTTGCACGCGAGTTTCCGATACGCAACATATCGGTCGAAAGGGTCTCTAATGTTCGGGAAAGCGATGCCTGTTAGCCGATTTGTACCAAGGTGTGAGACAGGATTGAGAGCTCCAAACGAAGCCGATGAACAGGGCCTGGCCGTTTGGTTAAACATGGGCTTGTCGATAGAGCAGGGGTGACACTCCGCGTTTACATGTGAGTCGAAACCAGAAGATAAACGCCTATCAAAGTACAGTGAGGGAGGGCCAAGTATTGGAAGGTTGAAAACGGGGCGGGATAATAATGCAGTTGGAAAGGGACGATCAGGGTGCAAGACCATAGGGAAGAAGAGGAGAAGATCTAAGCAGTAGCATCGAAACTTCCATCCACCCAGCTCGATGCAGTGGATAGGGCGCCTGTAATTATCCTCTGCGATAGCCAGAGCAACAAGAAATGGTTTGATGGTGAAGTGGTTGCGTAGGATTGCGTGGGCATGATACTGTCAGGTTGCCCAGGCATAGATAGGAAAACGATTAGGGCATTTGATTCAAAAACATGACCACAAGGTAGCGGGTTTGGCAGTGGGCTACAAGAAATCCGTTTTATGAAGTAAAGAGCCACTCTCTCTCTCTAACCCTTAACCTGTACGACTATGATACTGTTTGTCTGACCTCTAACCACTGAACAGTCTTGCATGAGTGTGGCTCTGAAGGTGCAAAAAGCATCACGCAACATAGCTCAATGGATCGTTGAGGCATGCAGACCATCGCGCCACGATAAAATCCAGCCTCATTGGGATGATGGGCGGTAGCATCTAACCCTCTCTCCGTCCTGCTCGAGGTAGCCGATAGGGCGCCAATGATTATCCTCTACGACGGTGGGAGTATCACGAAATTGTTTACAGTGAAGTTCATTGTAGTATATGTTACCCAATGTCCGACTGCGATGATCTCAAGCAGTGCGGTGAGCTATTGATTAACTTTGGGACTGTAGCCGATGCCCCTAAATTACTCTGTGTTAAGTTTTACGCGCAATCGGCATGGCGATAATGAATTACAACATGTTTCCCAATCCGTTATGCTGTCATCAGAGTTCAAGTCCAGTTTAGAATGTGGTGGATGGTCCGCAGGTCATTCGGAATTATTACGGAAGATATGTTTTTAGGTTACATCCAGCGTTCGTTAGGTCGCACTTGGAATACTGGTTCCAAGCACATCCTCTTTGCTTAGACAGGAATAGGTTGTCAGTAGGGACTGTTGAGGGTCAGAAACGAAATGGTTGCGCACCCAGAAAGATCACTTAAGCTGCAGATGTTCTCAGTGCATTATCGTCGTCATCGTGGTGATCTGATCTTGTTCTATCGCATACTGACCGGAAAAATCGAGCCCAATTTACCTTGGCTTTTCCAACCAGCTTGGCTGCCATCTCTTTGAATCCACCCGATAAAGTTACACAAGCCCGGATCTGATGGAAACTGGACGGATTTCCGTTTATCATGCAGGGCAGTAGACTCATAGAATGCACTATCCGAGGACATGGTGTTGTCACCAACGCTGAAGTTTGAACGTCCACTCAACACTCTTAGCTTTCAGTTCCAAATTTTCCTCCTCACATTTCAGTTTGTTCGCCATTGTCGCCTTAATAAATCATTTTTGGTTCCCGGCGCTTCTACTAATTTCGCACTTTTGTTTCTTAATTCCCTTGACCGGGGAGGCGGGGATTGCAAATGCAGGTCATCTGGATATACGTCGGTTGACGGCAGCGTGATTCGCGCGTACTGATCGGACTATCCTAGTTTCTAATTATCACGAATGAAAAACATACCGGATCAGCGACACGCTCCGGAATGAGCATCTACAGGAATTTCACCGAAAGTAACAGTCCCATCTAAATTTTCCACGACCTCAAACTTAGTGCACTTGCATTTGTGTTTATAAATGTATAGCAGGCGTTAGTCCCACTTGTATCGCTCAACGGTAACGTGAATTTGATCGCAAAATTACTGGGTGTCGCAAGTTGGGACGTTGTAGCAAAATGCACTGATTCTGTTAGTCCACAAGCTGGCATTTGTCACGCGTCCAAAGATGCGCTCGCTAGCGGATAGTCCAGTTACGCCGGGGGGTGACTGACTAAAGTCTAAGTGAGACTAGAGCGGTAAAATTATCCCGTGAGCGATCCCGAGTGTGTCGTTAAACCGGAAACAATAATAAGTCCGTAATTCTTAACGTACTCAAAGCGAAACACCTGATCTACACCCCGGTCAGTCAGTTGTCGCCCACGTATCCAGCACTAGCAATCCCCGCTATGCCATTGACGCGAAATAAGAAAGATTATGAAATGCAAATCAAAAGGAGGGAAAAGAATTAAGTTTTAGAAGAGGGTAATATGAAGGTTTCCAGAGAAGTATATAAAGTGTAGTTTCTTTTGTTCTCCGAGCTGAGCAATTGTGCTGCAGACGTTTTGTCACCAGTCGTGGTGACATGGTTAGTGCCTCAGTTGCACATCGATCAAGAGCTGACGACGCTCTCAGCGAGCTTGTACGCTAAGCAATGAGGCAATGACGATGCCATCCCGACTGCTGACGAAACGTCTGCAGCAGAATTGCTCAGGTTGGAGAACAAATGAAAACCAGACCAGCAAAACCCGAGCTAAAAGTATCCCGATTTATGTTAAACAGGTATAAAGTGTGTTTAAAGAGAGGAGTCAATTAGGGGGATTACATTTGATACTGCCACCCTGAGCATGTAGTTGATTCTCAAGGCTTTTGAGTGTGAATGTGTCCACTACATCCTCTGGAAGGAAGCGCCAACGTTCAATAGCTCCGCGGTAAACGAATGTCTGACATAACCCGATCGCAGTGCGGTTCGTGCAACTTGATGAAGTGGCCGTGAAGACTGAATAGATTAGGGGGACTAAAAAGGAACGATAAGTCCGGACCAACATTTCCCGTGAGTGTGGCAGGTAAGAATCAAGTTCGCACTAATCTTTTTATAGTGCGTTGGATATATTCTGAAACGAAGTAGACGCTCGGGGTACGACCGTACTCCTAACCTACAGACCAAAGTTAGAATATACGTTACAGTTTAATTTGGTTCCAGACAAGACACAACGTTCTAGGTGGTCACACAAAGGGTGAGGAGATTAAAGCTAAGATATAAGCTACTTTGGTTCAAAAGAAAGGTCGAATAAACCGTGACATACGGAACCCTCTGCTGGCGGCTTTCATTCATCTGTCTCTAGAGTGAAGAATGGAACAGTGGATGACACCTTGGCCAACCTGATGAGTAATTTCGCTTTCAGAAAACACATAACAAGTGGAGGAATAAGTCAACTCGATATGCAGCACTGAACACGAGTAAGTAGCCTAGTTAGTTTCGTGGCGAACTAGTGTAACATTTAAGGAGGAACCGAAATTGGTCCGGAAGTCTTAGAGGGGTTCAGCTTCCTCAAAGGTTTGAGAATTTGAGACTCCGTCATCCCAATTTCGTGTAGTAAAGAGCTTTCAGAAATGTAACTTGTGTTCTATGCACGGTATATTTGTTCTGTGGATGTTTGATTACTGCTAATTAAGCACACGCGCCTTGTCATAGTAGATATAAACAGGTGCGTGTCCGCTCGAAGTAACGTGGGGATAGGGAAATTCGTTCCACATAGCTGCTTAACATAAACGAAGAACTTGGAGATGGCCGTGACAGTGTCAACTAAACCCTTCCCTTACAGAAGCCGGGCCAACCTCAGAAGTAGTTTTAACTTTATCCGAAGCACCCTATACCCATCGAACGTGCTGATCGGCGGAGCTGCTTGTTACGTTCGCTATCATCTCGACCGCTTCATCAACAAACTCTTCCCTACGGAATCTATTTATGAAGGTTGCACTCGACTCGCCTTTTTCACCCAGTGGGAAATGCAGTGCAGAAATACCAACGATGTAAGAGTTAAATGTTTCACTGACTAACTGAGCAATGTTGTAATAATACGAATAGTAATAATAATAATAACGATGTGTCAGCTGTACGCCGTAACGGCGCTTCGCTGCCGTGCGACCATCACCAGTCGCGCGGGTTGAGTATACCGCGAAGACGCCCAGTCCTACGCGGATGAGTCATGTGGTCAGCTTGCAAGTAGTTCACGTGAAGTATAGTGAAGCTGATATCAAATGTGAGCCACGAGATGACAATATAATGAGGCAAAGGGGATTCGTCACCATCCGGGGAAAGCTCAGTTTAAAAATCAGTGGGGCATGCATGGTGCGAGATGTTTCCGTGACCTTACGTGATGGTAGCCATATGCTTGTGGTACAACACGGCTGCGCCACAGTAGCTATCGAGTAAAGAAAACAGAGATCTAGAAAACAAGCGACAAAGTCAATGAAGTTGCAAATAGAATGAACCGTGACAAACCAACAGTAGAGTCTGCGCACACTTTTACGGGAGGGGGGGGGGAACAAACCTGATTGTTGATGAACTTGGCCAACTGATCGCTCCACACGTGACACTGTTGCGAGCTGACGGCCGCACGAGGCCAGCAAGTGACTGTGGTAAGACTAAGTGGGTAGTTAGGCGGCAGTTGGATGATCATCTCCACAGAGTGTTCTTCGGTCATGCGGCAGGTGGCGATCAGCTGTGTCAGACGGAACAGAAGAGCGCAATAGTGTGACCGAAAAGCTGTGGGGTAGACGTCACTTGTGAAACACCAAAAAGTACCTAATATTTGTTCGAAGGCTTATTACTGTGTCGATGGAGATTTGCTACTGCAGTAGGTAAGATAATAACACGCAGACTGCCTAGGGGAGTCAAATAGATAATGACCACGGTAGATCTGGATCCAAGTACAAGGCACTCTTCGACATTATTAGCAGTATACCGTAAAAACAGTGGTGACAATGAAAGAACCAAGATTCATTTTGTCGAATCACAGGGAAGAAGTGATAATCGAGTCGACTAGTGACCTATGAAACATCCAGGCACACTCATAGTTATGCGAAATAGGGTAGCTGGGCCTGCCTCGTTGTGTAGGGATATACAATCTCTTTCTCTTCACATAGACGGTTCAAAAAACCAACCGACTGGTCGGCAATTGAATCTAGGTAAAATCGTATCAGCAAATAACTGCTGTGCGGCAAGCCGGTGGAACCACTAACGACACCGAGAAACAATAATTTTCCGGCGAATTTGGGGATGACGAAGCCACTAAGTGGAGCTACCCGTCGTACCAGGGAATCTGATGTGGACGTTGGTGGACTTTCAGTGCCTAAACACAGTTCAAACCCTGATTTGTCATCTGACCGAGCACAGTGATCGATAGTCGCACTGCCCCTTACAGAAAGCGCAACCTTGCACTAGCGAGCAAACCAAGCAAGTCCATATTGAATATTTCCTATTATATGCAAGCAAGTTGTAGATTTCTTGATTAACTTCTCTGTCAAGTTATGCAATGCTATGTATAAAACAACAAAAATCGCGGCGGTTGTTTGAGAAGTATCAGTACCAGGCATGTGTCGAAGAAGGAAACTAACAAACAGCTGTTGAGTGCGGAAAATTCTTAGGGGAATCAGATTTGAAACCGTTTACTGACACATTCAGACGATCCGCATCAGGTCGTCTAACTGTCGTCATCGATGAATGATAAAAAGAACCTCAAGTGTGCTTGCTACCTTGAGTACAACTATGCTTGCACATGTGTAAGCCGTGAACTGCTGTGAAATGTTCACTAAATTTGGAGTTTAGCTAACCAAATGTATGGAATTCGGCCGATTTGTCGGTAAAATCTCATTGTCAATAATCATGAAATTTTGCGGTTCATCACGGGTCCAATGGTCTACAAACACTATTTTCCACAAGCACCGGCCCGATACCGCTTTTCGAAGAAGCGATCTGGATGAAATACGTTCACGTGAGCATGGATCTCTCCAGACGCAGTAGAGATACAAAAGGACGAATTCAGAAACAATTCTGAATCTTGCCACCTGTTGTTGAATAAATTGAAATGCATCAATATCATCTGCACAAAGCAGTACGCCGCCTGCAACTTTTGCCAAATCACCCTTAGATTTACATCGAGATGAGAATTTATACACATACATACCAGCGAGGCAACTAAGAACAGCGGATACGTGTCAAGCTTATTCGTGTTCCCTATATGCGAACGGGTTATTCATGAGGCTGCCGTTTTAGGTTTCTCAATTGAGATTGGCCTCCGACTAAAAAAAGAAAGAAAATCGACAGCTGTACGCCGTAACGGCGCTTCGCTGCCACACGACCACCCCAGCCGCGCTCGCAGGCTGAGTTTACCGCGAAGACGCCCACACTCCTATGCGGAGTAGAACCGGTAACCTTAAGGTTGCAACAAACCAGGCGGGCAGACCACACGGCGCCACTGGTCTCCGCTGCTTCCGGTAGTCGGATCGCTCATTTTATCACTGTGCGCGTTTTGTGCCGCTGAACACGCAGCTGGTCGTCTCTCACCAGTCACCTAGTGTGCCTTTGATGAATCAAAGAACCATGGATAAGTAACTGGTAGATTTCGTCGGTGAAACGATCCCTGCTTAGGAGTGCTTAGAACAACCCCTTCGGTGGCACTTGCTTTGAGTGGGATCAATAACATGACATAAGTAAGCTGAACTGAGACTTCGTTGCGATACAATCAGAATGACTCATGGGATGAGGAAAAGCGAGATGGGAAGTAGAGCGATAAGGAGTAAAAACTGAATGCCTTGAGAAACCGTTTGGTGCCATGGTGGTTAGGTTCATAACAAACATCACATACAAATGGCTACCTTGTAACATGCAGCAGAATAAACCAACAAGAGGATGGATTGGCGATTCACTTACCTTTCTTAACAAAGGTCGACACTTGATGGTGATTGACCCCACCTCCTTTGAAGAGTTCCACAGAGAGAGCCACGACTTGGATGCGCCTTCGTCAAGTTTGACGCGCCGAATAAGAGCCCTGTCCTGCACCAAGATCACTTCATCACGTGCAATATCTGTCGCGAAATACCCGGTGATCAAAGAGCGCACTGCGTTCGAAAAGAAACGAAGGCGCCTCGGGTTATGGAGAGCCAACGGGCTCTGAGGGTGAGCAATGCTGGTTGACCCGTCTGAGTTCAAAGAACGCAACCGAAGGAACCAGTTTCTGAACAGTGCAGGTGCCTCAGAGAGGAAGCGGCAAAGTAACCGCACAGCAAAGTGACTGAGATCACGAGACAGCCGGTGGCCAGGCAGGAAGAGGAGAGGATCATCTGGACCAAACGGTTCATCCCAGCATTGAACGTCATCAGACGCCGGAGTGGCAGGCAAACGTACGGCACGGCGATGGGTTTCGGAACTGAATGAAGACACTGTAGAGATGAGATTCGTCCAAGTGGCCGACACAGGAAGCATGAGACCCTCAGGTGGCTCAAGTCGGCTAAGGGACTTCATAAACGCTTTCAAATCACAGGTGGGGGGTAGAAGGAGGCCAAGACACATCATGAATTTGTCCAGTAAGGATGCCGAACGACCGAGCAACGCTCGCTGTAACCGTGCACCCGCATGGGGTCCGGCACAGGTGAACAGACTCAGTAAACAATCCCAAGCCAGAAGGTAGCCTAAGATAGATCGATGTGCCGATAAATCCAGACTCCAGCCGTCCTGCACAGAGAACACTGTGACGTAAGTTAGAGCACGAGATCCACGTCCCCAGTAATCAAAAGCCGACTCCGAAACTAAGTCACATTCTAAGGACTCGGGTAGAGGACCTGATAGTGCCAGCATCAGGGAGGTAGGAAGGCGATGGACAAGGTAGTTACTCAAATTCGACGTTGCATCACTGCCAGGTCGTTGGGTGCGCGTACAGGTGAGTCGAGTAAGTAATATATGTCCAAGGAGCTGGCCAGATTGGAAAGGTGAAAAACGGAGCAGACGAATAGCCAATTCAAAACTCGCGCGTAGACCTGGAACAAACTGAGATACCGAACAATTTCGGGAAGAGATCAGCGGTACTACTGAGGGTGAGGAAGAACAGTCAGATACCTCCAAATCCACTACATACTCTAGGATAAGACGCGGATTATCGGCAAACAGGCGGATTAACCGGGAGGTTGGACACGTGGCAAATGCAGCGCAAAGCGCTTGTAAATGAAACGGAGTGTCCATTTGACTACATGAAACACTGGAATTCGACTGAGACAAGCAAGATCGGAGAACGATAGGCAACAGATTGGAGTAAAGATGTGAGGAGAAAAAATTGTCCCAGTCGGTTCGAACGGAAGGTGGAGGGCGGCCACGAAGTGGAAGGATTGGCTCATTATCTGCGACCCCTGTGCCATTTACTTCATCAGTTTCATCAAGTATCAAAACTGACTCCTGTCCCTCGTCGATTTCCTCTGAGAAGTCGAGGGGCAATGGTTCTGTATTCTCGGTACTCTCGAGCACGTTATCGCTATCCATGATTATATCATCGTCCCTTATATTGACATACAAGTCTTTGAGATCTGCCTGCTCAGCTTCAGCGTCCAAATCGTCACCCCATTCGTCCCCAGTTGATTCATCCAAAGGAAGAGGGCAACCTCCGTCTCCTCCTGAAGCAGCAGCATGAGGTACCAGCACAGCGTCCAAAATCACTGGAGACATATGACAGTCCAAAAACACAGCGGCCAATGCAGTGGCAGCACGGAAACTTCGAAACGCAAATAGTCTATCGTGATCTTCCAATGGTGTACTGGAGTCAAAGAGCGAGTTCGCCACAGAGCACACCCAACTCACCACGAGAGAGATGAAAAAATCCCAATGCGAAAGGGTCAGCGATGGCCGGAACCGTAACCGCAGACTGCGCCGAATAAGGCTAAGACGATGAGAAGTGGAAGACCTGTTCAATTTGTGAGTGGTCAGCTCCCACGGTTGCCAGAGTGAGAACAAAGACTCAGTGAATGAAAGAGCAGCCAAGCTAGCAAGATAAGTGGAATGCGACTTCCAAGCGTCTGGTACCCTTCTGTCGAGTGAATCACACAGTTTGGTCAACCAACACCGGTAATCTTCAGTGAAGATGGGGAGACACAAGGAAACATAGATCGGGGTGGCGACGCGTACGCAAGCCAAAGCAGAACAAACTGCCAAGATTCGAGCGGCCGTCGCGTGGGAAGCGCAGGAGTTTGGATTTGTTTGGTCTGAGGGGGAAATACTACCATTCGTGGAAAGACTCCTCAGTATCCCGATTAATTCCTGTCTCGGCAAACAACGTCGAAGGATGCCAGTAGGCAAATACAATTCACATGCACGATGAAATATCAATTCATCTAGGGGATCGACCGGATGCATTTTCGGTAGGAGGTACTGTTCGCACCATGAAGAACTCATCATGTCAGGATCATCAGCACAACTGCAAGCGAGTAGGAAAAGATGGGGAAACGAATTAGGGTGAAGAGACCGAACGTGGTTCAATGCAACGGCGTTAAGGGTGGAACTGAGTCGGAACAGAGCATACGGATTGGGGGCGAACAACGAAGAGCGCCGATTGATCGACAAGACATCGAGTAAATCGTGAATCGACAAATGGACTGTAGTTGCACGCCAGAGATAATTGTATTTGTTCTGAAGTAAATCAGTAGTGCGGCCAAACGAAGATCGAACAGGTTCCATATGTGGATTCATGGAGGCAGCCGGGGGATCCCATAGATTATCCGACGTAAAGAAGGTCAAGATGGGCCAACCCAGTTCCGTGCTAGAGTCGTATGGCTCTGACACACCGCGCAACTAAGCTCTCAACAAACTCAAACACTGAATGTATTGGCGGTGTTCACTGTCCACTGTCCGTAATTGGCGGGGGAGGCCCATTTGCCACCCAAGCTGATGCAGACGAACGAGTGAAGCCAAAAGAGCCCGGTCGACAGATAGACCAAACGAGGGCAACAGATGCCGCGTGGGCACACTAAACAACGCTGATCGTGGAGAACAGCTGTCTGTGAATGGACACACCGATAACTTCTGAATCAACTCCGTCAGTTCAGACAACCAGATAGAGGCCAACGCGGGGGTAGGACACTGGGTGGCCAAGGATTTTGCGAACCGAATCAATCTAGGTGAAACATACGGTGAATACTGAACTATTTTGAACAGCAAATTGTAGATAGAATGTGCTAAAGCATACGGGTCTCCAGTAGGGTTTGGATCTCGTATTCGTGAACTGACATGGGAAAGCAACAGCCTCTCGGCGCGTTGAAATGCGTTGGAGAGAGACAGTGGCGGACGATGTCCAGAGGTCACCATCTCAGAAGTGAAAAGCACTAGAGGCGAGTCGGGTGTCAACACTTCTGCGACCAAAGCGAAATGATGGATGCGGTACATCGCGAATAAAAGTTGCCCCAATTGAAGGCAACAACGATTGCGACGGTCGAAGTCTGTAGAAAAGTCGGACTCCAAAGCGAGCAGCAGAATGACAAAAAGGCGGTGGATAATCCTAGGAGGATGGACTTTCAACATGTCGACGGATCCGGAAAAAAACGGCCGGATCCAATCAGCTACTTTTCGGAAAACAGACTCTTTTATCATAGGTAGACGCTCGCGATTTCGAAACCAACTCCGACTCAAAGCGTGAAATAACAATGAGATATTGATCAACGAAGAGGATGCATCGTCATCGGTTGTCTCAATCAGCACAGATTTCGCGCACCAGTATGCAAGCAAATGCGAAAACAGATTGGCAATATTCCGAAATAGATTCTCTGAATCAAATAACAAAGTGTTCAAGATTGTTGGATACAGGTGGTCGAAAAACTGCAAGCAAATAGAATTTGGGGGGAAGTGCAATGGAGCAGCATCATCCGAAAGGGACCAGGATCTTGTCAGTCCGCGTACCACTGAAGACGACAAGGACTCCCACCGAATATTCTCTGGCAAACCCGGTAAGATCACAGAGAATAGGGTTGAAGAAAAAGAAGAGATTAAGCAAGGGTAATAGTCGAGAAGATGACCATGCAGACAAAACAGAGCAAGATAAAGGCAACTTCGTAAGCTTGTGTTCATAGCGGCTGAGTTAAGCCTCCGTTCCACTTCTTTCGCAAGCGATGTAAATAGTGCAATGCACCACTCGCTTTTCATAACAAAATAACCGGTACGCTGTGTGGCAGAACCAGGAGAACGGTTTGTTTGAGGTAAAGGAGGCAGGGACCAAGGTGGGTAGTCCAACTCAGCGATGGCATCAGCGAATTCAATCAAACGGAGCGGGTCTATCAAGCCAAGCTGGGAACACTTTGTGTCTGGTTCACACGGATCTGTCATTTCGATGGCAGGATCCTCCGAGGACCACTGTACAATTTGATCACAAATGTGAGCCAAAAGAAGGTGTTTAGAGCACATGTCCGATTTCCCCATGTCCACACACAGCTTCGCCACCTGGAATGGTAGAGTGAACAGAGAACAGCGTTTGGCGGACATCAGCGTGAGTGACAGAACATGCGACGATAGGGACACTGAAAGGACTAGAGACAGTGATCGGTGACCGGTTAAACTAGATGGCAAAGAAAACTGACAAATAAGCTATCATTAGTTTGCGGTTGCGCGAACGGACTATTGGGATAAATCTTGATCTGAACCGCGATCTGCTCCGGAGAGTGAATATTTCTCAATTCGGCCAATGGAACCGTATCTGGAGCTGATGCTGACCACCCATTCAATCACTGCACCCCATGAGCGGTTCACACTTGTTTGTGACTTTGAGGTGCCGAGATAAAACCCGGACCCGGAGATATGTAAGGTTGTTGGTGGATGACCTTGTAAGTATACCAGAGACGCGGGCAATGCTCGTCACAACAAGTGGAAGTCAATTCAAGGCATCTGTCATGTAAATAAACTAAAACAGTTTTTATACACTAAAAAGACTCATCTTTAAGCCAAGTAAAGAAATAACCATCAGTGGAAGATTCTCGAGGCAAAAATATCTAACCATTATGCCGAAGACACATAGTTATCAACCAAGGTAGCGAGAAAGCATGTCTGTCTACCAACACGAAGAGGCAATGAAGGTTAGCGAAAGGTGAAATAAGTGAGGTGATTAGTGGAAGGGAGGAGTAAGTGCGCAGTTTATAAAATTAAAAAAACAAGTATTAGTAGATATGCGGAGGGGAAACTCAGTCCGTCCTGATCAATAAAAGTGCAACGTGTAGTTAATCAGGCAACCGACATTATGCACAGTACAGAGTTCAAGCAAATCCGGCTGAAACCACAATTCCCGAGTGCTTTTGGTAAAAATCCAAAAAACCTACAATACTCAGATAATAAATGTGAGCAACTCATAATAATTGGAACACTGAGTTTGAATCCCTCCCCCATAGTCGAAATGATTTAAGTATGGTTACTGGAAAGGATTGATATCTAGTTCATCTGCGCAACCGATTCTGTCTTTCAATGAAGGCCGGCAAAGTACGCACACAGGGGCAAACGGCCACCGTTGTACCATGTCAAAAAGCTGGACCTAGACATAACGTTAGAAACCATCAGGCAACCAGCCATACTAGCATTATTTGCTGAATGATGAAGACTGCTCCAAAAGTGGCAGATTTCTTGCAAACAAGTGGCCCGCTTAATAGTGCACCACATGGATTTCTCAAGAAACACTAATGTGAAACATGTCACCTTGCCTTCCTCAACGATTTTGCTCTCTTTGAACTGCGCGAAATCGTCGGTAGTGATCTTCCTAGACATACAGAAGGCGTTTGGTCGTGTACCTCACGATAAGCTTATAGATAAAATCGCATCTGTTGGAATCAACGACCCATTGTTATCGTTGTTCAAAGCATACTTTTCAAGCCGAATCCAGATAGTTAGAATAAATGATCAAAATTCAGAGTCTAGACCAGTGATGAGTGGCGTAGTTCAGGGCAGCGTTAGCTGCCCACTAGTCTTTTTATTGTATATTAAGGATATATTTGAGGCAGTACACTACGGTGTTTCATGTGTTTGCTGATGACTTAAAAATCGTCTGTACCTTAGATGTTGCTAACAAGATACCACACCACGAATGCCATTATAGCTGACTTGAAAGCCCTTGAGTTATGATGTAATGTTCTACTGTGCCGTGGTACAACCACACCTGGCACTCTGGTTGTGTGAAAAACCAATAACGTGCAACCGTGCAGTAATAAACTTAGGTCTTCACTATTCTAGCTCACTAAACTTTATGGAGCACACGGCAAATATAGTCGCTAAAGCTCATCGAAGCATTGGACTACTATACAAAACATTCAAAATGCACGATTTCATAGCCACGCAATACAAGATAAAAACCTGACCGTTTTTAGACTATTGTGCATTGATCTACAGTAACACAAGAACAAGGGACCGCCAGAAAGTGGAGAAGTTGCAGAGATCGTTCACTATAGACGTCTGCTGGAATTGTCCACTCGAAGCTCTTAAGCACTGCGATGCAAGGGTTTAAAACTAGACCTGGTATGGGTCAGACAGGATGAAACTTAGTAGGTCCGTCATTCGGTATAGTACATAAGCGAGTTCATGCCCTCAGCTTGGATTAAAAATTCAAAGGTGGGCAATACTATAGTATTAGAGACATCCACAAGTTTTTAAAAATAGGAAGATCTAGAACAGACACGTACAAACTTGCTTGTGACGAGTCATGAGTGGTTAAAAACAATAAGTAAGGGAAGTCTGTCGACAAGATATTCATCGATTTCGCTAAAGCGTTCGACAAGGTCAGTCGTGAGGTTCTCCTTCACAAACTCAGGATGTGTGGTCTCGGTGGCTCACTGCACCGGTGGATCCGCGACTTACTTGTTGGACGAAAGTGGAGGGTACAGATCAACGACCATCTAACTGACTGGTATCCCTCTACAAGTGGCGTGCCTCATGGCACTACGCTGGGGCCCCTCTCTGTTCCTGATCCACATCAACGATCTACCTCAGCTTCTCCGGTCGCCGTGTGCCTTGTTTGCAGACGACATAAAGATTTGGAGAGAAATTGACGCTCCTGACGAGTGGCGTACTTAAGCAAATCCTCAACCGCCTATCCACATGGTCTGCAGTTCATCTCCCGGTCAAGCCAGCCAAGTCTGTATTTATGAACTTGGGGCAGGGTGCTGACGGCCAAGCGCTACATCCCACACCCTCCGTGAAGGACCTAGGGGTACTCTCGCGCTCCGAATAGAAGTCCGTGGACAACACGAACAGGTTATATCTTAACAGGATGCGCATGCTTTGGCCGCTCAAACGGAGGTTCGGCACATGGTCTGAAGAGGTTGTCACTCGCCTCTTCTCTTCCAACACTAGACAAATGCTAAAGTATGGTTCACCCGCCTACTTTCCGATTACCCAAGGCAAAGCGTAAAAGATCGAACGGGTCCAACATGCTGCTACCAGGCTCATCCCGAGTTTACTTGGCTTGGGATATGAAGACCGATGCGAGAAACTAGGACTCTACACATTGTCTTTCCGTCGGGTGCGAGTGGACCACATTAAGACCTACCGTATTCTACCTCTCGGTGACTTCCTCATGCTGAGGCTAATACCGCACTTACGAGGGCCATGCAGCACACGCGGGCACAGATACAAACTTGTCATGCCGGAGTTGAAATGAGTTCCCCACCCACTGTGCTTCTAACAGAGAGCGATAAATATTTGGAAAAATTTGCCTGAACATGTGATGGAGGTAACCTCTGTGCAAGAGGTTGTTAGATGTATACTCAGCACTATTCGAGGTAGAGAACGATTGCACATTAAGGATGACATCTCACATTTGTGAGTCCTGTAATACCGTGAGTTACATATTTTACATGTAACATGAGCCCGATAACGATATTCATGGCTGACAACTTTCATAACGTTTTTCATCATATTTCGAAAGAGTTGTACAGAAATCATTACTACTTGCTCTATAATACAGTATTAAGTACGAACTTTTATGTGAATGTTTACGCAAAGATATGGAACAGACTGCTGTCCAAGCTGTGAGAATGTAAATCACTGGAAATCGTTCGTAAAGAGATACGCGCCTTGTTAACTGTTGAGAAGGCCACTGAGCTGCTGAGACAAAATATCACGGAGGAAATGGCATATGAAAATGATCAAGTAGATATCTAAAATATAGTATCAATCGCTACTATCTTATCCTCCAGTATTCAGCATTTTGACACCTCGTAACTGCTGGCCTCAAGAAATCATTCTGGCCTGTGGCGAAACAATAGAGGAAAATGCCACACCGAGCCCTGCAAAATAAAGCATATAAGTATGGCTAAAAAATTTGGACGAATTGTTTGGTTTGCAAACGTCTTAACATTTATTTATCTATAAACGAACTATTTTCTGTATTTCAAACCAATTCATTTTTCAGCACAAAACTACAGAGTGCTTCATGACATATTCAGTCAATGTCAATCACACACGCATCGGCAGCCAATGATCCGGGACAACTTCCTTGTGACGAACAGAAACTGTTTACAAGCTTATTTATAAGATCCGACCGGATCAACCTGAATCCGTAGCTCACATCGTCGAGATATAAATACTTTTTCGTTTACCTTGCTATTCTTTACATTTATCATTTAAGATCAAATATTTCTTCTATTTTCTAGCGATCAACAGCCCAGAAGCAGATAGCAATCCTCAGTGCTCCGCGATACCAAATACTGTGTTTTATGAACACATGTAACTGTCGGATAAATTTGAGGATTCATTTCAGAACTGCCTCGCATATCGATAATCTGAGCAACAACCTATTACGGCGTTCCCCACCCCCCACAAACTCCAGTAGATATCTAACATTTGGTATTAATCGCCACTATTCTAACGTCCCGTATTCAACATGTTGACACCCCGTAACTGTTGGCCTCAAGAAATCATTCTGGTCTGCGGCATAACAATACAGAAAAATGCCACAGTGAGTCCTGCAAAATAAAACATAGATATAGCTAATAAATTTTGACGAATTTTGGCTGATCTGCAACATCTTAACATTTATTTATTTATGAACGAACTGTTTCCGTATTCCTAACCAATTCTATCCCTGCTCGGAGGTATCAGCACAAAACTACAGAGTGCTTAATGACATCCGTCAATGTCATTTCCTACACACATGGACTGCCAGTGACTAATCGATCCGGAACCACTTTTCTTGTGAAAACTTGGATAGAAGCTGATTGCAAACACCTATAAAATTCGAACAGATCAACCCCAATTTTCGTTTACCTTTCTCTACTTTGTATTCATCTTGTAATATCAAATATTTCTTCTACTTACCTGGGAGATCAACAGCCCAGAAGCAGGTAGTAATTCTCAGTGCTCCGTGATACAAAATATAGTATTTTTTGAAGACATACAACTGGAGGATAAATCTAAAGATCCCCTTCAGAATTGCCTTGCATATTGATAATCCGAGCAGCCATTCA